AATTTTTCTTTAAATAGTCATAGATAAGTTAAAGAAATAACGAGGGGGAGTCCTCTGTATTTAACCAGATATTTACCATTTCTAGTGCTTTTCATTCATTCTTGAAGAATAGTTTCCACCTGGTATCATTTCTGTTCGCCTAAAGAACTTCCTTTAACTTTTCTTATAGTCCAGGTCTTAAGAAAAAAAAAACAAAAACCCAAACCCATTGCCGTTGAGTTGATTCCAACTCACAGCGACCCTACAGGAGAGTAGAATTGCCCCATAGGATTTCCAAGGAGTGCCTGGTGGATTCAAACTGCCAGCCTTTTGGTTAGCAGTCATAGCTCTTAACCACTATGCCACCAGGGTTTCCAGTCCAGGTCTACTGGTGATAAATTTTCTTGATTTTTTTTTTTTTCTGAAAATGTCTATTTCACCTTCATTCTTGAAATAATTCTTTTTGCTGGATAAAAAAAATTATGAGTGACAGTTTTCTTTTTCCTGTCAGTACTTTGAAGATGTTACTCACTGTCTTAAGATTATTCTGCTATTCCTTTGTAAATTATTAGATACTTAGCTTTAGCCTTCTTCATTTCTAACAGAAGCACTTAAGGCTATGGATTTCCCTTTAAGTGCTTGTTTGCCTAAGTTTTTCTATATAATATTTCATTATCATTTATTTCTAAGTATATTAAAGTTTATAATTTCTTCTTTGACTAGTGACTATTTAATTTCTAAATGCATAGGGATTTACTGTTTACCTTTTTGTCAAACTTAATTGCTTACTGACAGATTCATTATGGTATTCTTTAAAATTTATTGAGACTTACTTTTTGATTTACTACATAATATAATTTTGTAAGTATCCCATGTATACTTGAGAAGAATGTGTATTCTCTAAGGTTGAAGAGTTCTGCGTATCCAATAAACCTACCTTTGTAATTATGTTGTTTAAAACTTCTATTTTTTTACTTTTTAGCCTAGAAAAAACTCCGAGATACCTTTTGAAATTTCCCACTGCAGTAGTGCCTCATTATTTTTTAAAATTCTATCAAGTTTTGCATTATACATTTTGAGCCTATTTATTAATTACACGCAAACTGACAATTTTTGTATCTTTCTGGAGACTTGAACCCTTTATCATTTTATTACCTTTCCTATCCCTGCTAATGTTTTTTTTTAAGTCCATTTGTCTGATAATATAGCTACATGAGTTTAATTTTTAAAAACAAGTTTATTGAAGTATAATTTAAATATCATAAGCTTCATCCTTTTCAAGTGTACAAGTAAATGATTTTTAGTAAATTTGAAAAGTTGTGAAACCATCACCACGATCCAATCTGAGAACAATTGCTTCGTCCCAAAAAGATCCTTCATGCCCATTTGGAGTCACTCCTGTTCACAACTCTAGTCAGTCACTAATCTACTTTCTGTCTCTATAGATTTGTGTTTTCTGGACATTTCATATAAATGGTCATACAATATGGTATTTTTTTCTTATACTTAACAATGTTTTTGAAGTTCATCTTTGTTGTAATATGTGTCAGCACTTTATTCCTTTTTGTTACTGAATGCTATTCCACTTCATAGAAATACCACATTTTGTTCATTCATTCATCAGTTGACTGACATATGGATTGTTTTCTACTTTCAGGATGTAGTGAATAATGCTGCTATGAACTATGTGTAGAAGTTTTTCTGTGGACAGATGTTTTCATTTCTCTTGGGTAAATACCTAGAAATGGAATTTCTGGGTCATACGGCAATGGGTTTGGTTTTTTTTTAATGGCAAATTTATGTTTTATGTTTTAAGCAACTACCAAGCTTTTTTCCCAAAGTTCCTGTACTATTTTACATTCATCAGCAATGTCCTTGGCTTGTTTTTTATTACTATTTATTTGATATATTTTCTTCTATCCTTTTACTTTCAATGATTTTTGTTTTTATGATTTAGATGTGGCTTTTATAAATAATCTATAGCTGGATTTTACTTTTCCAGTCTAATGATTTGTCTTTTAACTGGTGACTTTAGTCCACTTACACGATTGTTTTTATAATAATGAGCTGTTACTACTGTCATTCTTTGAACTTTCTATTTGTCGTGTTTTTCCTGTGCTGCTTTTGTTTCCTTTCTTGACTTTTTAACCACTGCCTGAATTTTTTTCGTATTAAATTTCCTGACTCTCACCCGTAATCCACTTCTTTGACTGTTTTAGCAATTATACCCACTATTTCTCCTCCTTTACTGGTTATCACTGAGATTTGACTATAGTTACCAAATTCTAACATTAGTCAATATCTTGAATAATACAGAAAAACAAGGACTGCAATACTTTAATTCCTTTCTGATTTACATGATATTGATAATCAGTATTTCTGGCCTTAAAAAATATTAGAATGTTATATAGTATATATATTAAAAAAAAAAAATCATTGCCATCGAGTCCATTCTGACTCATAGTGACTCTACAGGACAGAGTACAACTGCCCATTGGGTTTCCAAGGAGCGGCTGGTGGATTCAAACTGCTGACCTTTTGGTTAGCAGCCAAGCTCTTAACCACTGTACCACCAAGCCTTCATATATTATATTCACTTATCTACCTATATGGTTAGCACATTTATTGTCTTTTTTGTCTTTAAACGTTTTATACTGAGTTATTTTATATGCTAAATTTAATTCCATTATCTGAAATCTATGAAGATCTAAATCTGTTAATTTTTCTGACTCTTAGTCATAGCGGCTTATGTGTTTGGTGATCTTTGATTGTGAACTCATATCCATTTCACTTTAATTTGTAGTAATACTGGGAACCTCTATCAGAAGTACTTTAACCAGACAGGAATTGTTTTTTTCCTGCCCAAGTTAAGAGACACTACTAACCTGGGACCATTTGATCCCCTGGCTTAATCAGAAATCTCAGGCTTAGTGCCTATAGTTGGCTTAATCAGAAGTATGAAGCTTAGTTCCTGTATCTTGAGAATTGCTCAGGGCTCAATCTCCTGAGGGTGATGGCTTCAAGAGTTTCTGCCTTTTCTTTCATATTTTCTAGCTGTTCAGGGTCCTTACTCCAGTTTCAACAAAGGGATTTTGTTTGTTTGGTTGATTCATTGGTTTGTTATTTTTTTGGATTGGAGATGTGATATCCTTGGGGATTTCCTTACTGTTTTAGCACCCAGTGATGCATTTTTAAGTATATTTTGTCAGCTATCTAGTTTGAAGTTCCCTTTGATATTTCATTATAATGTCTATCATTATCTTCCACCTAGAAAGAAGAGCATATCCTAACTTGTCCCCCTTAATTTTACTCTCTCCAAATTCAGTTTATCATATATATAGCTGCCAAATTGATGTAATAGTGAACATGTTAGACATGTTAAATTTGAGGTGCTTTGAAATATGAGTTAGGAGCTCAGGTGAGAAATGGATCCTAGAGATGTAGATATGAGTCATTTATATAAGTGATAATATCATGTGAGTGGATAAGATTATTGAGGAGATTGGAGTGAGTGAACAGAAATAGGAGAGGACCACAGAAGAACAACTTCAGGGATAGGCAGAGAAAAATGAAGTAGGAAAGGAAACTTAGAAGATGTAATCTAAGAAATTGGAAAACAAAGAAATGGTGTCTCCGAAGCCAAGGGAGGAGAGAGTTTCAAAGAGGAGCAGTTTTTACAGTCAGATGCAGCCAAAAGGGCACACACGATGAGAAGTTATGAAAGAAAAAATACCCCTAGGTTTTATCATTAGAAGATGGCTGATTATTATTACCAGAATGGTTTCAGTGGAGTGAGAAAAAATGCAAAATGGCAGCAAATGCATGAACAAGTAGTGTAATTTGCTAACTTCCTCCTCAGTACATCCCACCTCCACTGAATATATAATGAATCAGTTAGCTTCCTGGAGCAGGACACTCTTCACCCACAAAATAAACAAAATTGCCTTCTGATCTCCTGTAGCTGAGAGGGACTGGGGGCAGATACTAGAGATAGTAGTAACGAGTAACAGTCATCAAACAAAAAATGGAAACTGTGCATTTGCTTCAGGTTGTACATACATAATATTAACAAGCTTTGTTTGTTTGAATTTTATTGCAGCTATTTCACTAATAAAATTTATGAGATTTATTAATAATATTTCATACTTCTGTTATTTTTTGTTTCACATCTTTACTGTATTTTCTGCCACCATATTTCACTGTGTGCAATATGGGATAGAGAACAGAGAACAACTTGGTTATTAACCTGCTTCTTTTTCGAGTCAGAAAACATGATAGTTGTATCTATGTAAGTCTCAGCACTCAGACAAAATAAAAAGGACCTTTTATTTCAAAATCCTGTGCAACAGATATTTTCGTGACATGCTTTTTTCTCAGGATCTTAAACTTTGTGTAAGTGTTATTAATTGAAACTGCAGCTTATTCTCGTGTATCTTAAACTTTTACAAAGAAAAATCTAAAAATTATACTTTAGGGAAAGAGAGTACAATTGTGAAAAAGAGTAGAAAAGTAGTATTAAAAAAATTAAAAATCATTTATACTGTCATTTTATAACAGCCTAGGATTTTTTTTTTTCAAAATCACAGATAGATTTGTGTACTAATTTAACATTTGACTTCTCAACTTTTCCTAAGAAACACAGAAATATAATTATATGATCTTCTAATGACTATCGTCCTGCTGTCTTCCTCATACTTTGCCTTACAAAACACAGTAAAGTGAAAAGTTGTTAAAGAGGCACGTTCTAAGCTCTCATCTTCCACATTCAGCAGTATCTGTGCGGGGCCATGCTAGTCCTTGCTGGCTGTGCTTAGAGCCCCGTGTGCTCTGTGCCTTAGTTCCTCTGACGTGCAATGACATTTCTCATGTGCAAGACTGCAGCAGGCTAAATGACAGTTGCTTGAAAATATTTTTCCCATCAGAAGAGCAAAAACAATAACACATAAACACATTAAACAGCTATCTTCTTTTATGTAGTTTTGTTCACAACTAATATGTAACATTTCTTTTCTTCATTGTAGGTACCAGAGATTTGAAAAGGCATTTCTCTTAGCTGTTGACATTGGTGCTCGTGACCTGTTTATGGTGAGTCATTCCCAGAGATGATTTTGGGCCTTCATTTCTAAGGCTGAGTAAGTTGTCAGCTTTTGTGACCATTAAAAGGGATTAGTGTCATTTTCAGCCTTAAACGCATGGTAGGAAAGGCATTATTCCATCTTGGCTTGCAGCTTTGCCTTCATGAAACTGGTCAATAGCCATCTAGTATTTTTTGACTTGTTGACATTTTCCTTGCCAGAGCCCAAAGGATTTTTTATCTTTTCTAAGGAGAATTTATAATTCTTGAACTTTTCTTCTCATGTACCTTGATATGAGAGGATGACACCTTTCTATCTAATTAGCTTAAATGTCTTTCTAATCCATTCTCTGAAGCACCACTGCAGAAGCCAGGACAGGGCAAAACATATCTATAGATCTTGAATGTACTTAGTTTGTTCCTTAGATTTTAGTGAAAAGTAATAAATTACCAGTGTTCTCATATGTATTTTTAAGTGCAAAGTGGATCCAAGAAGTTACAAATTTTATGTACACTGTAGTCCTCTCATTAGTTACAGAAAAGTAAAATCGACCAGCTCCTTACAGATCTTACAGATCTTTGTCCTCTGCATCAAGTTCTTGTTTTATAAAATCTTGCACCACAATGTCACAGTGAGGTCAGATGAACAAAGGCAGGGTTCTTCCCGGTTTTCCTAGCGTATTCTGCTCCACGTCAGATTTCACTGTTGTCAAAGAAACAAGAGAGCAAAAGCTTCTTGAAAACAAGAAAAACTTCTGGGAGGGTCTTGTACCTGAATCTTTTGTACAATTAAGACATTTTGTAGTTTAAATTCAGCTTTGACATTTGTTAATATGGGTTCGTTACATTAAGTCATTTGCCTTTGGATTGAGTTTGATATTTAAATCCTAAATTTATATCACTCAATTAAATTGTGCTTTCAGTGATCATGAAAAAAATCTAATTTCTTTCGAAAGTGGGAACTTTTTGTTATTTGTCATTTGTTTTGTTATGCCTAGTTCAGCAGGCAGGTTAGTACATTGAAGGAAAGTTTTTATTATTTTCATAAAAATCTACACAGCTAGACATCATAATGTCAGAAATTTAAATTATATCACTTTTTAGATTTTTAACCCACTGACTTTCCCTCCTTATCTCCACCTTCTCATCTCTGCTGCTTACCTACTCCAGTAAAGGATGATTTTCTTTATATTTCTTTATTTTTTATAAGTCTATAGTTAACAATCTTTTTCCCAGCCAAGATAAAAATTAAAGAAATCAGTATGTGAATGTTCGGTGCCTGGCAAACCTCCTCTCTCAAGGTATTATATTGATCTATAATTTCTAGTGATTTGATTATTAATTAATGATACTGAATGATCAAAGACAACTTCTAAACTCTTTTAAATCATATCTCCTTCAGCATTTAGCCTCAGTTTAGCCAGTAACAATATAACGAAAGTCTCTATGTTAGTTGAAATTTCTTCAATCCAAATAGCCTTTCTACTGAAAGGTTAGCTCTAACCTCAACCCTAACCCATGAGGATTTTTACATGTAAAAGAGAAAAACCTAAAATAAGGGAAGGAAAGGAATTGTTTTTTTTATTTGCAAAAGTAAACAGTCATTATTCAGAACTCTGCACCCTTACTCTTCACATAAAAAAAAATGCTTATAGCCCAAGACCTGCCTTAAACGCCCCCGCCAAAAAAAAAAGCAAACTCACTGCTGTCTAGTTGATTCCGACTCATAGTGACCCTATAGGACAGAGTAGAACTGTCCCATTGGGTTTCCAAGGCTGTAATCTTTATGAAAGCACACTGCCACATCTTTCTCCCACGGGGCCACTGGTGGTTTCCAACCACTGACCTTTCAGCTTAACCACTGTGCCACCAGGGCTCCGGATCTGCCTTAAGGAAGCCCAAAATATAAAGAACATTAAGGCCTCAAAGCAAAGTTTTATTTAAGCTCACGAACCTACTACGTAAATTTGAAATTCCATGTTGAAATTGTCTAAAAAAAGAAATTAGGTTTTCTAATAGATCAATTTTTACTATTTAAATTATCATCTAGACATAGGTCTGTAGCCTATATACTGAGAAATGTTAGCTCCTTTGAATTTAAAAGTTTTTTTTTAAAAAAACACGATTATTCCTACTGTGACTTTTTTTTTACCCCCAAGATATCTCTTTCTAAAAGACTAAAAATAATACCATTTGAGTCACAAAGGAATTACAAAAACAGTGTGTCAGTTAACCTTAAAATAATCTCTTTTGTATTAGCATCAATCACTGGTAGAGAGATACAAGGCATATAGGACAACACCAGCAGGTTTCAATATTAAAAAGTGAATATAAAGGTGTGGACTCTGAAGCCAGGCTGACTTGATGCAAATCCAAACGCTTTCTTATTAGCTGTGTGATTTTGTATAATTTATCTAACTCTGTTTACCTCCATTTTATTACTTGTATCCAAAACCAAACCTGTTGCTAGTGAGTCGATTCCAACTCATAGTGACACTATAGGACAGAGCAGAACTGTCCCATAGGGTTTCCAAGGAGCAGCTAGTAGATTCGAATGGCCAGCCTTTAGGTTAGCAGCCAAGCTTTTAAACACTGCACCACCAGGGCTCCAGTAGCTGTACAGTATGTTTTAAAATCAGGAACTATGAGTCCTCCCCTACTTTGTTCTTCTCTGTTATGGCTTGGGTCAGGCATATCTTAGTCCTCAAAGTGACATCGTTGCTTTTCAACACTTTAAAGAGGTCTTTAGCGGCAGATTTGCCCAATGCAATGCATTGTTTGATTTCTTGACTGCTGCTTCTGTGGGTGTTGATTGTAGATCCAAGTAAAAGGAAATCCTTGACAACTTCAATCTTTTCTCCATTTATCATGTTGTTGCTTATTAGTCCAATTGTAAGGATTTTTGTATTGTTTATGTTGAGTTGTCATCCATACTGAAGACTGTGGTCTTTGATCTTCATCAGTAAGTCCTTCAAGTCTTCTTTGCTTTTAGCAAGCAAGGTTGTATCATCTGCATATCGCAGGTTGTTAATGTGTCTTCTACCAATCCTGATGCCGCATTCTTCTTCATATAGTCCAGCTTCTCAGATTATTTGCTCAACATACAGATTGAATAAGTATGGTGAAAGGATACAACCCTGACACACACCTTTCCTGACTTTAAACCACACAGTATCCCCTTGTTCTGTTGGAACGACTATCTCTTGATCTATGTACAGGTTCCACATGAGCACAATTAAGTTGTTCTGGAAGTCTCATTCTTTGCAATGTTATCCATAATTAGTGATGATCCACATAGTCGATTGCCTTTGCATACTCAGTAAAACACAGGTAAACATCTTTCTGGTATTCTCTGCTTTCAACCAAGATCTATCTGACATCAGCAGTGATATCCCTCATTTCACATCCTCTTTTGAATCAGCTTGAATTTCTCCAGTTCCTTGTTGATGTACTGTTGCACCCACTTTTGAATGATCTTCAGCAAAATTTTACTTGTGTGTGATATTAATGATATTGTTTCATAATTTCTGCATTCTGTTGGATCAGCTTTCTTTGGAATGGGCACAAATATGGGTCTTCTTTCAGTAGGTTGACCAGGTAGACCATCTTAATCCATTCTGTGTTTGAGTTTATTTGAAGCTGAGTTTCAGTCTGAGATGTAGTTAACTTCCAGTTTACACTTATTTCAAGAGCATAGCCCCTCTGGAGTCCCAGATGAAAGATCTTTCTCCTCAGCCGCCCTTGAAGTAAATCTTTGTGCTCTTAGCCCAAAGAATCTACCTAAAGCTTTGTGTATCTTCTCAACTAATCAAACACTACTTTTTGCTAAGTTTCTCAGCCTCTTGGTGACCTATTAGAAATTGGCAAATGTTTTGAAAAGTGGTACCAAAGGCCAGGCTTTCTTCTCTGGGCTTCGCTTTTGTCTAGGATCTTGGTCTCTTAAATACTCCCTGCCTATGAGCTCGCCAATATCTTCAAACAGATTTTCTAAATTAAAAAAATTTTTATTGTTTCACAACAAATCTTTAAGGCTTTAATTTTATGATTATGAAAAAATAAGGCACTACTACAGTTTTTCTTTATTAAATTTCACCACTGTTGATAATGATTTTTTCTTTTAAAAAAAAGTACAACTATCAAAACAAAAATTAGAGTAACATTGCCATTCTGATGATTGTATATACACAGTACCTCATACATACTTTACAAACAAATTAAATGGAGATAAAGTTAAAATCATAAAAGACTCAAATAACCTCTCAAAATTCACTGGATATGCTTAACAGTAGATTGCATATTATACAATATAACTTGAAGACAGATAAATAGAAATTATCCAATCTGAAGAACAAAAAGGAAAATTACTGTAAAAAAATGAACAGAGTCTCAGTGACTTGTGGGCCAAAATACGTGAAATTGGAACTTAGTTGAAAATTATTCATCTACAGATCCAAGAAGGACAGCTAACTCCAAATAGAAAAAAGGTCTACTCACACCACATCCAGGCATACCATAGTCAAAGTACTGAAAGTCAAAGATGAAGAAAAAATCTTAAAAATATTCAGAAAAGAAAAGCATATTGCATAAGAGGATCAACAACAGATATAAATTGCAGTGGTTAAGAGCTCAGGCTGCTAACCAAAAGGTCAGCAGTTCAAATCCACCAGCCACTCCTTGGAAACCCTATGGAGCAGTTCTACTCAGTCCTATAGGGTCACTATGAGTCAGAATCGACTTGACAGCAATGGGTTTGAGTTGGTTTGGGTTCTCATCAGGGAGAAAAAAAAAACTAGAAGATAATGGAACAATATCTTTGATGTACTGAAAAAATCAAAACTTCCAATATAAAATTCCATGTCCAGAGAAAATTATCTTTAAAAGGAGAGTGAAATAAAGACATTTTTGAATAAATGAAAGTGGAGAAAACTCAACACCAGCTGATGGACTACAAGAAAAGTTAAAGGAAGTTCTTCAGTCAGAAGGAAAATGATATCAGATGGAAACTTGAATC